TCTGAGGTTGGGTTAAAGTGCTGGTGGCAGACAGACAGGAGGGGGCTCGGGGTCTGTGTTCTCCCCAGACACTGGTGTGTGGCAGGAAGGAATTTTTCGGGGGTGGGGGAGGGTGGTTGGTTTGGGGAGAGGCAAGAAGTGCTGGTTGCTAGGCAGAATCGGCAGGGATGAATCATGTGCTGGCGTGACCCGGTTCTTGGCAAAAAGGAGAAGTTGTCCCATTCCATGGAAATCTTTTTGTTTGAGCTGGAAGGGAGCGTGGCTCATGGGATCCAATCTTCTCATTTTGCAGACTGGGAAACTGCAAGTCCCAAGAAGGAGAGCTGGGCCCTGGGACTTAGGAAGACGCTCGTGCTTGCTCCAGAGGGCTGTGTACTGCGATTTGATGGGGTAGTGACTGCCAAGTGCCTCACTTTAGCTGTGGGGTCTGCTGGAAGAGTATGTCTAGGAGATGACACTTAGGTGAGACACGACTGGAAGGGGCAGCCTTGTGAAGCTCTGGGGAAGGGGGCTCTGAGTGGTAGGACCAGCAAGTGCAAAGGTCCTGGGGTAGGAGTAAGCTGAGTGAGTTTAAGGGGCTGCAGGGAGGCGGGTGAGGGGGCTGAGGCAAACATGGATCACATCTAACCTTGGACCTTGGAAAGAGAGAGAGAGAGAGAGAGAGAGAGAGAGAGAGAGAGAGAGAGAGAAGAAACTGATACTTGGTGTAAGTTGGGGCTCCCTCCTGACTCCTTCCTCTGCTCTCTGATAAGGACCAGTCCAGTGCAGACATGTGCATTTGGGAAGCATTTACTATTTACCTGGCTGTGGTGGGTACTGTTCCCATGTGATTTCATTTAGTCTGCAAACAGTTTCTCTCACTTGTCCAAATAAGACAAATGAGAGGCCATGGCCACTGCTGGCCACTCAGGGCTGGGAGACTCTCTGACCCAGACTCTCTCCCTGAGGCCCTCAGCCCAGTCAGAGGGGTTGGAAAAAGACTCCACACTTGCAGATTGCCGTCTGTTTCAACTCCCTCGCGCAGAGCGGGAGAGGTCGAGAGGAGACGCGACCCCGGGCGGGCAGGCGGTTGCCCAAGCAGCCTTGGCCAGGACGCTGGGCCGCGCTGGCTGGAGCCCCTGGGAGTCAGAATGAAGAGCAGCCCCTGGGTGGGAGTGGTCCCAGGAGCCCCGCTCTGGTGGGAAAGTGAGCAAGGCTGTGGGGCTGAAGGGCCCCCCACAAGGACCTTGCCCTCCAGCAGGCCCCCGGGGACGCCTGGAACGCTGGGACTTAGTCATCCATGGTGAGCCTCCCGGGCAGCTCCTCTGCTTGGGAAAGAGTAGGAAGATGGAGTCCCAAACGCAGCCGGGAAGTAGACTGTGAGGGACAGAGGTCCCCATGCAGGACAGCCTGGAGGATGGAGAGCAGTGCTGGGGTGCACTGCTGCCTGTCACCTCCCTCAGCCCAGTCCTGACTCCTCACCCCCTTCCACAGGCCGGGCCCGGGAATGTCCCGAGTGAGGGCCCGCAGGTCCATCTCCATCTCGGGGTCACTTCCTGGAGAACCAGCCTGCCACAACGATGGTGATGTCGGAGGTGGGTGACGATGGTGACAGCGGTGATGGTGACACTGCTGATTATGGTGATGGTGAAGGGCGGACATAACAAAATGCCACAGAGTATGTGGCTCATGCATTGGAAATTTATCTTCTCACCCTTCTGGAAACTGCCACGTCCCAGATCGAGGCTCCTGTGGGTTCTGCCTCTGGTGAGAGCTCCTTTCTGATGTGTGTGGTTGCTGGGTTCTCACTTGTGTTTCTCTGGGTGTGTGTGATCAGGGACCCCTCCTTAGAAGACCACTGAGCCACTTTGTTTTGCCTTAATTTCCTCCTAAAGACTCTATCTCCCAACACAGATGCATGAGGGTTAGGGATTCAACACATGAAGTTTTAGGGGGCCCAGTTCAATGCACAGCAGAGCTCTTGACCACACCAAGCAGCACGGCTGTGTCTGTGTCAGGGTGGCAGTGACCGCTGATGTTTATTGAGCACTTACTACACACCTGGCAGCGCACTCTTTCCATTTCAAATGGGATAATTTAGTTAGTCCTCACAACAATCCTCTGACCAGGGGGCCAGTATTACCCTGGCTTTTCAGAAGGGGAAACCAAGGCTCAGAGAGGGTAAGTACTTGGCTAAGTATCTGCCATGAAAAAATCAGGGCAAGAGCGGGGGCTCAGAACTACATTTCCCAGTTCTCCCTGCTGTTCTCTAAAATCCTGCTCCATGGGACTGTGATTGGGGTTGTGTTTGGGCAGAGGTGGGTCCTGCCCAGCTCACCCACTGGAGCTTCCCTGCCGGCAGGATGGGAGGTGCCAGGGAACTCCTCTACGCAGGCACATCTGGCGTGGCAGGTGTGTCCTCACCCGGGGACTTCTGGAGGTCCTCTGGGAGTTGAGTTTCTCTGAAATGAGGCCAGAGGCCAGAGTCCCAAAGCCAGGTGGGTGGCAGCAGCGCTGGCGGTGCTCAAGAGCGGTGGTGGGGACCGGCTGTGCGGTGGTGGGGCCCGGCTGTGCGGGCTCAGGGCCATGCACAGTGCAGCAGGCATGCTTGGCCAGCTGTGTGTGTCAGAAGCTGCACTGGTGAGTCCCCGCGTGGGTGCGGCCAGGCCACAGCTTTGCATACTTTTGGAGACCTTCTGTGAGTGCTGACACCCTGGGTTGGAAAACTTGAGGTTAATGATTTATACGGCAGTAGTAATGCTAGTTGTAATAGTATAGGCTGCGACAGGAGGATTGGTGTGAGTTTGAGGCTGGTCTGTGCTACAAAGTGAGTTCAAGGCCAGTCTGAACTGCACAGTGAAACCCTGTCTCTCAAGGGCAAAAAAAAAAAAAAGTTAACAAGGGTTGCTATCAGTAAAGCAGTCACAGTAGTACCAATCACAGCAGCAGAGATAACACAGCAATAGCAAACAGTGTGCTGGGGCTGTAGGGTAGTGATGCCTGGGGTCTGCTCCCCCATTTTCTGACTGTGGTCTTCACCTTGGACTTGCTACCCATCCTTTTGTACTTGCTTTGCCTGTAAAGGAAGATCACTGGGGCATTTAGGGTTTTGTGAAGAGTGGGTGAGCATATAGGGCATCGGGTGACAGTGCCTAGTGTCAACTCTATGGGACCAAGTAGGTGCTATCATCATCATCCCCATTTGGTGGATGAATACACTGAGGCTCGGTGGGGGAGGAGGGGCTGTGGTGCCTGGCAGTGAATGCACTGGCCCTTGCTGCCTTGGTTCACTGTCTTGGGGTAAATGTGCAGGGAACGGGAAGCACTGCTGTCCTCTTTGGAGGGAATGGCCAGACACGAGGGCTTAGGTCCCTTAGTACAGGACAGCTGGTCCGAGAGAATCAGTCTCCTGAGCTAGGGGGTTTAACACTGTCCACCTCAGAGGTTTGGTGGAGAATTGCAGGGATCTGACACAGACCATGGGTGCTCAAAGGGTCATTTTATCTGTCAAGACCACCCATGGCAGGGTTTAAAGATGCCAACAACCACTTAGAAATGGAGAAAACAAAAAAGAGCAGGTTACCTAGGGCCCCTGCCTTAGGTGACACTAGACTCTGGGTGTGTTCAATGTGTTGACGGATGTACCTATTTCTTTTAGGGACCCTCCACAGTGAGGTCCGAGGTCCAAGCTGTGCTGTAATACTGTCTGGCTGTTTACTGGCTGCTTCTGACGTGTGGGATTCAGTTTCAATTTTTGGAGGATGTTAACTGGGACAGAAATGTCTCATCTAAAAAGTTGCAGAGAACAGAGCTGGGGAATTGTGGTGTTGCCACATGGAACAGGGGAGAGACAAGCACAGCTTAGCGGCCGGTGAATTACACAGCAGAATGCGCCGCGCAGAATTTGACATGGTCCACCCAGAGTTCTAATTTGAGATTCCAATGAGGCCCTGGTCTGTGGTCTTCTCTACGGGCTGGGCCCTGGAGGGAACAGACTTTGAAGTTCTCCACCAAAGCCTAGACCATTAAAAATATGCGTTTAAAAAAATGCGTTTTTTTTTTTTTAAACAAAGGAGGTATATTTAAGAGGTGACCAGCCTATGCCTGAAAAAACAAAAAACAAAAAAACCCTGAAATCAGAAAAACAAACGTCTTACTCCCCTTTCCTCTATCTCTGAGTCCCCTCATCGATGGGATGGGGGAGCTCACAGTGGGTGGGACAGGGACTGAGTGTGTTATTCACACCTGAGCCAGGCGGCCTGCAGCCACCTTAGGGGCACGGCGCATGTACGGCCGGTTCAGAGGGAGCCAGTGAAGTGCCATCCCTGCACAGGACAGAGGCTCACGAAAGCTGCATCCCCCTGACTCGGCCCATCTGCCACCATACAGAATCCAAGCGGCTCTCAAAGTTGGGGGCGTCAGAGCCCGGGCCTAGAAATCTGCATTTCCACTCATTTCCTCAGTGCTCTTTGCATGTTTGGTCCACAGGCGGATGAGGTGGTCTTAGCCAGCATCTCTCAGATTTCATAAACCACTGACACTGGGAAAACAATTTTCAAGACTCACTTTTTTAGGTATCTTTTTTTTTTAAACTGGTACCGGGGATCAAACTTACGACCGCCGGCTCACAAGGCAGGTGCTTATGCCACGGAGCTAAATCCCCAGCCCCCAAGACTCACTTTTGAGCCATCTCTCGTTTGTAAAGAGCAATGAAAAGCAAGAACCCAGGCTGGGCGAGGCGGCATGTGCCCATTCGCCCAGCTACGTGGGCAGCTGAAGCAGGAGGGCTGTAAGTTTGAGGTCAGTGTGGGTAACTTAACAGCTCTGTCTCAACAAAATGACCGTCTCCTCGCTTCATGAAGCACTTACGGCTGTGGCAGAATCTCTGCTCGTGGCCTTTATCATTCCCTTTGCTAGGAGAGCTGTGCGTGTGTTCGCCATTTCCTCTTCAGGAAACTCGCGGGGCTCTGGGCAACCCTTGGGGGAAGGATCCAAGATACCAGGCTTACTGGAGACAAGCATCATCTCACATTCTTTTATTATAATGTGTATATATATGCAGATCTGTTTTATGTACAGTAATTGGTTCTATCAAGTAATCAGACCAAGGCATTGCCCTGGCAACCTTCCCCAAATAGACTCAGGCAGAGTAAGACACTTAGGCACTTCCTGGGCTATCAAAACTGAGACCTCGCTGATTTCCACTCTGAGGCCATGCATGTAACTCAAAATATACACTAAGTGTGCTAAGGTGGTAAAGGTGAGCTGAAAGAAACCACAGGACGCAGGACAATTAAACGGTGTATTTGGCTTGCATTAAGGGCAGTCTGCATGGGAAATAGTGTGCGTATCTCACAGCTTCTTTTTCAGTAGTGCGAGGAGCTTCTAGAAGTTGAAAGTGTTCGTGCGGCGGCGGGCAGACCCGTGACCTGCTGCAGCTCAGCCAGGGCTCACTTCTCTGCGTCTCCTTTCTTGGATTCTTGCTTCAGTTTGTAATCGGCCAGGGCAGCCTTGATTGCATCTTCTGCCAGCACTGGAAGGGATGGAAGGAGAGCACCTGAGCGCCGCCGGGAGGAACGGCCTGGGAGGAAACTCTGGGCTGCAGGGCGCTGGTGCAGGGGGCCTTGTCGGAGCCACTCAAGTGCAGGGTGGAGGGCTGCACACACGGTGGGTCTCCTGCTTCCTGGGCCGTTACTGTTTGGACTGGGGTTTATATACCTGAGATTCTAGCCTACTTCCTTAGCCTCTCGGATCCATTCTCTCTTTGGAGAACTAGGGTGGTCATATTTTCTAGCCGAGAGAGTGAGGGGATTCCAGAGAGTGGCTGACACTTAGCAGGGGCACGATGAAGGTTAGTTAGTTCTTGTCTACTCTGGTGAGAGTCTGAGCTGAGCACAGAAGATGCTGGTTAAACTAAGTGGCTGACTCTAAGTCCCACGGGGCTGATGGCTGCAGCCTGCCACGTCACCCTCTTCTGATCCCAAGTCTGAAAGCTTCTGTTTAGGAACTGATACAGAATGGGAAGCTATGGGGGAACATAAAAGTTGGGGGAACATAAAAGTTGGGGGAACTGGAATGACTGAAGAAAGTAGCCAATAGTAGAGAACATTAAAGATTTCAGTGCAGTATCTAAGGAGCCTAACAAGAGGCCGAGGTTCTCCTGCAACCCTGTGAAAATGTTTACAAGCCATGACCTTCCCTCATGGGTACTTAAAATTCCAGTTCAAGTGGGAAGAACCGGGCCCCAGCAGATGTCCTGAGGCCGCATCAGTGCGCCCCCGCCCACACCAGCTCTTCAGTATCCGCATGAAGCTGCTCTCTGAGGATCTGCTAACTAATTTGGTTAACAAACCTCCATCTATCGATGTTTACCATTAGGCAACTGTTTCCCGTTTCCTATGACCCTGAGAGGCTAAGAGAGGACAGAAGAGCACTTGATTTAATAGCAGTGACCACAGAGAAGGCCCAGCATCAGCCTCACAGCCCGGCCCGCGGGCTCTGAGGACAGTGCTGTGGGGATGCTGCCAGCAGGCCATGTCCCTCCACGTAGGCAGGTGCAGCCCCCACCAGCCACAGCACCCAGACAGGCAGTGATGGAGGACTCAGAGAACAGATGGTGGCCAAACTGGGTTTTTGCCTCTGCTGGTCCTGACTTGGCTACAGCACCATGCTGGCATCGAAGACTGGGCCTCAAATGCTGGCTCTCCCACTTAGTAACTGTGTGACTCAGGCGCTCTCCCCTGAACCCAGGATTCTCTGCAAGAGGGGTGTGATGATGTCTCCTGTGGACTCAAGGCTGTTTCTGAGCCCGATGAGAGCTCACTGTGGCTCCTAGGGCACTCAGGCCCCTGACGAGGCTCTCTGGAGCCCTGGGCTGGGAGGCTACGGGGTGCTGGCCCTCGGAAGGTAATAAAGCTCCATGAGCTCTGATCCTCTGTGGGTTATACGGATGGCTGTGTGACCTGACAGGACTGTCACCAATGCAGCAGAAATCACTGTCAGTGTCCCCATCAGCTGGCACCCCAGAGGGCAGACTCACTGGAGCAGTGTAGTTTCACGGGCGGAAGGCAGAGCTCCTTGGCAATGTCTGTGTTTTTGATGGTCAAGGCTTCCTCCACCTGAGAGACACAAGTGAAAGATGAACGGTTTTCTAGAAGCTTTATCTTGACAGGGTCGGACAAAGAAGGAAGGCCCAAGAGGACAGGTTGGTGGGGAATGATTCTGCCCAAGAACTGAAAACAAAGCCCTGTTGCCTCTCAGGATTCCCACTCGTGTGCCAAACCGCTGCTAGGATTCTCAAGTGCGAGGTGCACACCTGCAGTGCTGGGCTGGGAGAACGAGAACAGCTGAGCACAGCCACAATCTGCTCACAGCCAGCAACAGAGTCGCTGCTTAAAGGCAATTATCTCTGCTGCGCTGGCAGGTCTCGGGCTGATAGCTCATCCTTTGCCTAACGTAGAGAATCTTCTCTTAGAAAGGCTTCAGAGGATGCTGTTAGTCTGGGTGGAGGCCTTGGGATGATATGAGGCAGGCAGGGTTTTGCTTATGTGGAGCAGAACCCGTTGCATTAAGAAAGGGCAGATCTCCCTAACAGCTGAGGCCCTGGCTAGCTCAGGAGGATTTCAAGGGTAAAGCCGCTCTGCTCCACTTCCGCTCTTGACTCAGACCCTCCTCCAGGCCAGGTCCTGGAAGTGCATCCTATCGTGTTTCCCCAAACACTGAGGCTAGTTCTTGACCTATCACTTCTGAGCCATCTCCTGTTAAAACACATTAGGCCCGTACTTTGGGGGCCTACAGAGCTTGCCAGGCAGCAGGCCCTGAGCCACTTGGAAGCAGATGGCGTGTTGTCTGGCAAAATGCTTTACGAGAGAGCTGGGCACACTCCAAGCATGTGCCTCGGTGACTCAGCTCCCTGAGCTGGCTCCCCAGAGTGCCCTGCAGGCTGGAGTTTCACAGTGGTGTTGCAGCAAGGGGATTTCAGGGTTCAGCTCTTCATAGAGCTTCTCTCCCAGGAGCTGCTGGGGTGAGAAAAAACATGGAAAAGATGTTCTGGCCTTCTTGTTTCCACCCCGGGCCAGCTGACCAGCCACCTGGATTCCTGTTTACTCTACCGTCACTCTTAAAATGTTTTTTATTTCTAGTATCTCTTTTAACATATGCTAGTTTATTTCACCAGTACTTATAAGGTATCAGGGATCCTTCCTGAAAAAACAGGATGGGAGGAAATAAACAGAAAAATAACCATTATACAACACCCCTGACCTGATTTAAGATACCTAAGAAACCTAACAATATCAGTAACCTTAGAGAAAAAGACTTCAATTTCTCTTTTTTGAGAGAGGGTCTCACTACATAGTTCAGGCCAACCTTGAACTCACTACGCAGCCCCTGAGGCTGGTCTCAAACTCACAGCCTTGATCTTCCTGTCTCAGCCTCCAGAGTGCTGGGGTCACTATGCCCAGCTCAACTGCATTTTGTCAGAAGGATAGATGAGAACCTTTTCTTTTCCCTATGTAATTAACAAAAAACTCCCTGAACTCCCAAAGAAAAACGATCAACAAAAATCCCTGCACAATACCTAGCAAAACGGTCTGTAATTTCCAATGTGAGGAATGCAATCAACAGCTGGGAAAGGAAGGGGTTAAAATAAAAATTTTTACACAATATTTGGGAGAAATCATGGCTTTTTTGGGACTCACTAGGCCCTTCAAGAGCCACGAAGTCGCAGAAAGCGCAATGTACCACCCTCGTAAGCAAGCTTACCGTCTTCCCTTTCACCCATTCCGTGGCTAAGGAGCTGGAGGCAATCGCGGACCCGCAGCCAAATGTTTTAAACCTGGCATCTACAATCTTCCCCTTTTCATCCACCTGGATCTAGAAGAGACAGTTAAGTGGTGATTCCCGGAGCTACCTTCTAGAACCTAGGAGCCTGGTACTCTCGGGGGCCTACAGGGTTCTTCTGCAAAAACTCTTGAGTTTTGTCTACACTAGAAATTCAGCCATTCATTATTGATTTTGCTGTTTCAAAGACCTCAGTGATGAAAAATAAGACTTAGCAACTAGACAAGATGAGCTGATGATTATGTCCTTCCACACTAGTTTTTACTTTGTTTGCAATCCTAGCATACTTTTTGGCTATAAAGTTCTATTTGAAGAAGTCTGCTCAAAGCTGCTGGGGCAATTTGTCTCCATAAGCACTGGGAGACTCTATAACCAAGGTCTCTGGTTAATATTTTTTTCTTGGATATCAAACTGCACTCAGGGGTTCCCCTGCCTTGTCTTTTTCAAGATAGCTATGAAGGATGGGGATTTAGCTCAGTGGCCCAAGTGCCTGCCTGACAAGCACAAGGTCATGAGTTCGATCCCTGGTACCAAAAAAAGAGATAACTATGAAGATCTCTGGCAACCTATCTGCCCACCAAGAATAAGACTGTGGCTAAAGTGATGGTTTATCCAAAGTGCAATCCATTACCTTTATGTCACATCAAACTTTGTACAGTTTTAGTTTACTGCATTTTTTTTTCACTGAGGAGTGCTAGCTCACTAGAAGTTTCCTTTGATCAGCAAATTCCACAAACTCTTTCATTTAGCTCAAGGTGAAATTTAAACTGATACAGTGAATTTGGATCCATTTCCTATTTCAGAATAGGACAATATAGTATACTAGCTGGAAATTGAGGCCTGAGTCTCTGCTCTAATCATCTCTGATACTGACTCCATCTCATGCTAATAAAGACAAAATGAGATGCTATATATGCAAATGCTCTGCCCACTAGGAAGCACTGTTTAAGTGAAGGGGGTTCTTCTTATGAGTAAAGATGAACCAGGTGGTACCTGCAATTTCATGACATCACCACATGCTGGAGCACCCACCAGTCCAGTTCCAACATTTTTAGAAGTCTTGTCAAGAGACCCTACATTTCTGGGATTTTCATAGTGATCCACAACCTGAAATGACAGGGTGAGAGAAATCATGATCACTCTGCTGGCAGCAGTCTCCCTTAAGGTCCTCAACCTGAACCAGGCAGTGTAGCAGGTAGGAAGGCCTACGCTTCCCTCAGTGAGAATGATTTGTGATCCAAATTCTTTTTGTATCTCCTAACCACTTTCACGGATTAGAGACACTAAGATAAGGTAAAGAAATCATAAAAGTCTTGTTTTTAGCTCCTTAGGGTTTTCAGCAACAAATAATCACTTGGCTCTTACCCACCTACATCAGATTTGTACTTAAACAATGCTTTCTTTCCCAATAAGACCCACTGGCAAAAGGAGAATGATTATTTAAAAAAATCTAAAAGAGGGGCTGGGGATTTAGCTCAGTGCATAAGCGCCCTATCTTGCAAGCAGGCAGTCGTGAGTTCGATCCCTGGTACCGATAAAAACGAAAAAAAGACAAAAAAAATCTAAAAGAAATATGGTCCAAGGGTGGACGCTTTCTCAGAAGCCTCAAGGTGACTTTTATGGAAAGATGATGTTATGGAACGAATCCCTTTCTGTCTCTGTATTCAGAACACCACTATCCTTGTGCAGGACCCTGAAGCCATCCTGCTGGTGCAGCAGCGCACCCTGGTGTTGAAAGGTTCCAAAAACAAATTCCTTCAAGGGATCACTGTCAACACAACACACCTCCGGGTGGGGCAGAAGTGAAGCTTTGACAGAAGTGCTGAAGTCAGAACGGAGTAAACATTCACTCACGCTGGTACACCGAAGACTTTACTAATCTTGAGGTTTGTTTACCAGTTAGCAGTAAGTATCCTGACCTTCCAGTGGCCCCCTACTTTCCACCTGATCACTGATTTTGACTCCAAGTTCCAAAGACCTACAAAATACCTAATGGGGTCTTTTATTTATTTATTTATTTATTTATTTATTTTTTCGGTACTGGGGATCGAACTCACGACTGCCTGCTTGCAAAGCAGGTGCTTATGCCGCTGAGCTAAATCCCCAGCCCCGGGTCTTTTATTTTTTAAACCTCGTTGATTTATAGAATTCTTTAGTTGTTTCAGGAGTGAGTCTCATGTGAAGACAAGAATCCCCAGAAGCAACTTCCTTCCCTTCCCCCGCCAAGAAACCAAACATTCTTGTTAGGCGTCTAACTCCCGAAGGCCATGCGTCCCTAAAACAGTAACAGCATCGTAAGTGGCCTCAATACGCCAGGCACCATGCAGATAATTCACATATATTCTCTCATGTAGAAGACTGCTGCCCTCTGCTTTCCCAGCCGGGGAATCCTGTTCAGCGAGGGGCCCCGATTTGCCCACTGTCACTTGGCTACAGCAGCGCCCTGAGCTGAAGCCGAATCTCGCGCTGGCCTGTGTCTTGACGCAGAACGATAACTCACAACAGAACCCTCCCGCCTGGGCTGCCGGCGAGTTTAAAGCTGGGACACGCAAAGTGGCGGACAGCAGCGAGGTTACTGGAAGTCGCCGCTGAATCTCTGGCACATCACCGGGGGACAGTATCACTGCCTAGCGGGAGAAAGTGCATGCAAGTGGACATGGGGGCGGGTCGTCCCTTCCGGCCCAGGGACCTGCGTGGTGCCTGGATCCCTGGGGCGGTCCGCGTTCCCCACTGTCCATCCGTACCTTCTTATGATAGAGCCGGGCCGGAGCTGACAGCTCGCGGGCAGGCAGGCGGGGACTCCGAAGGAGAAGGGCGGAAGCGGCCCGCCTCAGGCGACCCGCTCCAGCTGCCGCCATCTTCCCGGTTTGCGCCTGCGCCGGGCCAGAGCGCTAGGCGGGGAGAGGGGCATGTCTGCGAGTCGCTCCGAGGGCGTCGGGTCCTCACGCATGCGCCTTCCGACTCCGCGCACGTGTCCGCCTTTTGGCCCCGCCTTGCCCACACCCCCCTAGGGGCAAGGACTGATTGTGGAGCGGGAAGGTCTGAAGTCGCTGGAGGGTTTGTTCCAGGGTGCTCAATTGTGCACGGGAAAGCGTAGGCTGCTGTACTACGGGATCAAAATTCACATTCGGAAAGTCACTGCTGGAATGCGGTGCCGAGGACCCCCCCAGCTTACTTTTCCTAACCCTATTTTGTAGCGAAGGAAGCTGAAGCGCAGAGCAGTTTAGTAACTTGTCTAAGATCTTTCATGAGTTAGGGATTCGAATTTGGATAATTTTAGGTTAGATTACTGGTTCTGCTCCTTGTTTGTGTAACCATAGACGAAGGACTTTGGCTCACTAATCCTTGATCTTATCCTTTTGTACCAGTCCAAGGACAGTTCATCCATTGAGCAAATACGTGTGGAGTATCTTCCCACCTTACGTGTCAGGATGCACTGGTAAATCTTTTGGATCCTACGGAAAGCAAAATACATACACTTCCTATCTCATTAAAGTTGTTAATGAGGGGAAAAGGCGAGACTTTTCCTACTTCAAAAAAGGGATGGTTAATTAAGCGAACACTATTCCCTTATTCTAATAAATATATACAGTATCCGCCGTTACATATATTCCTGAAACAAAAGCAAATTCTCAAAAATTTTACAACGCAAGGCAATTGAGTTTCAAAAAATGCTCAGAAATGTAATTTATTAATATTGACTTGCAAAATATGATCTTACAAAACCAGAAAGTTCACGTGTATTTAATGCCTACTAGGCATTATATAAGGGGAAGGAATCATTTTGGAAAACAGATTTTTCTTTTGAATGGTGCAATCGATCTTTTCATGAGGACTGAGGATTTGTTCCAAATTTGAGTCTCGGTTCCTGGGAAACTAAACCACGGTTCAGGATGGATTATACTTCAGGGCTTTGAGAATCATTTCGACCTTCTCAAGATGGCGTCAAACACTTTACTATAGGCATCATGCTCACATTATGACTTCCTGTGTGGCCTGCACTTCCGGTTCAAGGCCTAACTTCTGTCCGAGGTTGTGACGGCACGTACGTTATATTAAGAAGTTTTTTTCTCCGACAGAAGGTTTTAGAAATATGTAAAGTGATAATAATTACATGTGTTTCTTGATTTTCCTATTACACGAGGCTTCTAGCTTCCTCTTCGGGGGCAAGAAAATGGGGATGTGATCAGGCGCCCGCCTTGGACGACTATTTCAGCGGGTCTTCATCGGCCGAGGGAAGACCCGGGAATCATTGGAAACGCAAGATGGCGACGGCGGCCGCAACCTCGGCTGCCGAGCCGGAGACCGAACCCAAAGCTGGGGCCAAGGCTGAGGGAGAGGAGGACGAAGTTAAGGTGGCTAGGACGAAGAGAAAAGTGTTATCTCGGCCTGTGGCCACTGCGACGTACAAGACTATGGGACCGGGGTGGGACCAGCAGGAGGAAGGTGTGAGCGACAGCGATGGGGATGAATACGCCATGGCTTCCTCTGCAGAGAGCTCCCCCGGGGAGTACGAGTGGGAGTACGACGAGGAGGAAGAGAAGAACCAGCTGGAGATCGAGCGGCTGGAGGAGCAGGTGGGGCCCCGGGGTGGACAGCAGGCTGCTTCTCTTAGGTCCCCAGGTCTCGGCCCGCCCTCTTGGTCCTCAGCGGCCATAAAGCCGCCAAGGCTACAAACCCACGCTTACCTTGTATCTCCTATTACTTGAGCTCTTAGAGCCTGCAGGGTGCTTTGCCAGGGTGTGTCATTGGATCTTCTCCCCGACCCGTGAAGGAAGTGGTGTTGTTGGCTGGGTTTTACGGGAGGAGCTCTTGTGTTAGCTGTGCTTTAAAGCAACTCCAGAATCCTAATCTTAACCGCACAGTTAAACAGTGCTCGACAGCTGAAACCAAGTTTCATTCATGAAAAGTTGATTTTCCTATCGGGATAACGACAGTGTTAACATAATGGTGTAGGAGGAAAAGTGTTGACCAGGACCATAGTAGAAATAGGTTGAAAATACGGCCGAAGGCTAAGGTCTTTAATCTTAGACATGCCATTCTTTCTGTGCCTTTGGGGGAATTTTTCTCAGCTTGGGCTTCCTTCTCTGTATAGTTGGAGCAGCAATTCCTCTATCATGTAATTGTCCTGACAACCCAGTGTCTGACCCCCAGTAGTATTATAGTTTCTGATCTGTAGCTTTGTGAGGTGGTGACATCTCCAGGACCCGGGGTCCTCTCAGGAAATAGGTGGCGGGTTCAAATTAGAAAAGATCTATAAAGGAATGTCTGTATTTATAAAAGTGTGGGCAGGGGAACTAGGAGTGAAAGTTTAGTATTCCATGGCTATTAACAGTAAGACTTTGTGTCCATGTTTAGGCCAATAAAGGGGCTGATTAGTTATCTGAATAGTTGAACGTAGAGGGCGAGTAAGGCTGTTGAGAACTTTGGTCAGGGCTGGTCATGAGTTTCCTGCTTCCTTCCCGCCACACTTCTGCGGGAGCCTCCTTGTGGGAACCAGGGAACTGGGAAACCCAAACTTGCTGTATGCTTGACAGGAAGGAGAGGGTAGAGTGCATTTCGATCTACAAGACCTAAAAGAGCTTGAGAAGGAAACAAGGTTCAAACCAAACGATGAAATAATTTGTTTAACGACACCCATAGTGGGATTTGTGTTCTTAGAAGTTGGCTATGGACCGCGTGCCCTGTGGGATGTTCATTTACTAGAGGATGTGAAGTTGTGAGGAACCCAGGTTGTTTAACCTTGCTGCTGTCAGTTTCCTTGAAATGCCCCCTCTAGCACTGATGTTTTCTTATGTTCTGAAATGGTGATGCTTAGTTTGTTTCCTTTGTCATCGCATCTGATTGTCAAATGAACCAGTTGGGGGAGGCAGGATTACCATTCTTTTTTTTTGTTTTTTTTTTTGTGGTGCTGGGGATTGAACACAGGGCCTTGTGCATGTGAGGCAAGAGCTCTACCACTGAGCCACATCCCCAGCCCCACCATTTTTACTTTCTGTGAATAAGCAAGTGTTAATGCATTTCAGCAAATACAATATGATATGGGTGCCAGATTGTGTTGCTACCCTCGTTGGAATAATTTCTTCAAATAGCTAGCGCTGAACCTTTTTCTGAGTGTGTATGTTGGGGGGGAGGGGAGATGTGTGTTAAAGGCATAGGATCACTCTTTTTTTTAATTTTTGGTACTGGGGATTGAACTCATGACCTTGAGTTTGCCAGATAGGCGTTTATAACCACTGAGCAAAATCCCTAGACGGATCACTTATTTTAGAAGAGGGTGGGGGAGGTTGGCGCCTGAGACTGAAACCCTTGGTGAAGGAACTCTGCTTCCTGGGCCCCACCAAACAGCTCCCTGCCTCTGGTACCTTGCAGCTGTCTGCTCCTCCTCAGCTCATTGGCCATGCTGGATGAGACTCAAGGTGATCCAGAATCTAAGAGTCTCCTGCCCTGCCCTCTTTGCCCTGGGTTCTAGAGCAGGAATATTTAAATTTTTCTCTACTTCTGTCACAGTTTGTCTTAGTCTCAGACTTCTTGTTCCTGCTCTAAGTACTCTTATGGTGGAGCATAATGTCAAGATAGGTCTGTAAAAAATCTGACCCTGCTGTATTTACAAGTTCTCATTCTCATTTGAATATATTTTATGAAAGCTGGCTTTCATAGTGGTATTAAGCCACATAATGAGCAGGGATTTTTTTCCCCTTTTTTGAGTTTGCTTTAGGTGCAGGATGGGGTACAGCTTTCTGACCTTGTGTGAATGCTAGCCTTCCTGCTGTGGTGGGAAGATTTTATGCAAGTTCCTTCAGCTGTCTGAGCCTACTATGTCCCATTTGGTAAAGTGAGTGTTGGGATAACCTTCTGTCAAAGGGAATGGGGTGTGTAAGTGACACAACGCACAAGGAGCTCCCGAGGTAGTTGGGAACATAGTGGGTGCTACATAAGGGCCTTTTTTCCATCTTGCGTTCCCCCTGTTGACGCCAGCTGTTTCCTTCCAACCTGGCCCGTCTGATATTTCTCAGCCTCATTCCTAGGTAGAGACAGGTATGGTACCTTTTTCAGAGGGAGTTGCGAGTCAGTTTGCACATTATTTTGCGCTTCTCTTTCTTTCAAGTCTCCTCTTTCTTTGAAGCATCTCATGTCATTAATGCTGTTGTGAGCCCAGCGTGGACCGGCAGAGGGACTCACTTGTTGGCATTGGTTGAACAGTACAGTCACGTCTCTGCAGTGCGTGGCAGTATGTGTTTACGAGCACCTCTCTTTACTTCATATCTTCCTTATTTTGGCCCCCAAAGACGTTTAGACCAAAAGCTACTTTTGAGCAGTCTCCCTACCTCAGGACTTTCATGCCCTTTTTTTGGCTAACCTACACTTGGCATTCATGTGAGGGGCGCTTGCATAGACATTTCTGACCCTGACCAACAGGTGTTCTTCCGCTCCCCCGTTTGTAGCAGAAAAGCATATTTGGACTCCGGTGTGTTGACATGGTAGTGTTGGGAAAAACTTTAATGACGAAAGCATAGCTTTCGTTGGCTTCACTTAGCTGCTGTGCTTTTGTGAGACACACTTGATACTCAGTTTTGAAACATCATTGTGTCATAAGCCTCTTGAGAAGCAGAGCTTGACTCCAGATCCTCCATGGTATAGACGACGAAACAGAACCAGAGAGGGTCGGGTCACCAGGGCCGTGATTGGGGGTGGACATGTCAATCCATCACGTGAACGAGGGATGGGTTCAGTTTGTCATGTTTTGTAGAATAAGCAGGAGAAAATTGCTAAAAGTCATAAGGAGTTTTTAAAAATTATTGGTTATGTTCTTAGTTATTACTGTTTCTTCTTTATTCTGCATGTTTTTGCTACAAAGCAGTTTTGTCTCTGTAAAAGTTTCTCTTAATCCTGTTTTTCAAATTAAGGGG